GGAAAAAGTTCACTGCTCCTGGGACTGAACAAGTGTGCCTAGCTGAAGCTGCAACAGGGTAGCATGGACAATGAGACTGCTCATCACATATGTCCACAGTTTGACCTATGCCATGACTCACCCACCACCAATGCGAACACGTCTTGGATGAAGGTCGAATAACCAGCCAGAGGATGACTCTCCTGCCGCTACAGTCCGTAGGTTTGTAGAACACTATTAAGAGGTTTTGGGGAACCCGTAGAGGTGTTGTATAGTTGTTGTACCAACGTTAGGTTTTGAGCTCGCCACGCGTCATAAGCATCCTAGGATTGTGGAGAAGGAGGGAAGGCTTATGGTGAATAGGAAGAAAACATGAGAGCTATGGAGAAACCCCTAGTTTACACCTGACTTCCCTCCATGCAATAAGGGTATCGCGGATGAGTCGGTTATGTTTTAGGTGGGGTGGCAGAAAGTTGACATTGGAGTGTAATAAGGCTGAGAGATCATAGGGATGTGCTAGTGCAGATTCCAGGTGGTAATTGGAATAGTTGGCAGATTGGGTGAGCCAGTTGAGGCCTATACGGAGCAGACATGAGAGATTATAAACTCGAACGTTCGGGAGGTTGGAGCCTCCCTCGCATCTTGGTAGGAACAATTTAGCAAGTGCTATGCGGGGATATTTGCCTTTCCATAAGAACGTTGCTATTGCCCGATTCAGCCTCGCTGGGTTTAAGGAGAAGAGGTATGGTTTGTAGTGGGTAGAGAATACGCCCACAGTTCGACCTATGCCATGGCTCACCCACCACCAATGCAAACACGTCTTGGATGAAGGTCGAATAACCAGCCAGAGCATGACTCTAACGCTACAAAAAACAGGGCAATTGTTTGTAACTCTGCCATGGTCGGTCCCAAGCCCGTGCTGCAAAAAGAGGAAGGTGGGTATTGGGAAAGCAAACCAGCCCTATAAAAACCATTTGCGGAGCAGTTGGGAAAGTTCAGTGACACTGAGGTGATGATCCGTCGGGGGGAGGTTCAGTGGCACTGCAGCAATGAAGACCTCTGTGAGCGCGGTTGGTTCTGAGAGCAATGGCCCAGACCCCATTCTATAACACTTGGAAGTTGCTCATTGGGGTGTAGAGCTGGTTCAAAGGTTGCGCGTGAGGGTTGTGTGCAAGCACATGTAAAGTGCAGGGGAACTCTGCGCTCCCCTCCGAAACTGGAAGATTGCTTTACCACTGCTCTTCATGTGCTCCACCTGGCCTTGTGTGAAGTCTGCAACTACACCATGTCCAAGTCAAAGCCCTGACAAAACAGGGCTCAGGACAGAGGGAACGATTAGTAAAAAAGCAGCACACATTACACATATTCCCCTTGCCAAGGCCTGGTCACGAGCCCATGCTGTGAAAGGAAGGAGGGGGGTTGGGAGCTGGTTTAGCCCTGTAAAAACCACATATTTTAAGCCTGCAGGAAAAAGTTCACTGTTCCTGGGACTGGACAAGTGTGCCTAGCTGAAGCTGCAAGAGTAGCATGGACAATGAGACTGCTCATCACATACGCCCACAGTTCGACCTATGCCATGGCTCACCCACCACCAATGCGGACACGTCTTGGATGAAGGTCGAATAACCAGCCAGAGGATGATACTCCTGCCGCTACAAAAAACAGGGCAATTTTTTTTTTTTTTTTTTTTTTTAACTCTGCCATGGCCGGTCCTATGCCCGTGCTGCGAAAAGAGGAAGGTTGGGTATTGGGAAAGCAAACCAGCCCTCTAAAAACCATTTGCGGAGCAGTTGGAAAAGTTCAGTGACACTGAGGTGATGATCCGTCTGGGGGAGGTTCAGTGGCACTGCAGCAATGAAGACCTCTGTGAGCGCGGTTGGTTCTGAGCGCAATGGCCCAGACCCCATTCCATAACACTTGCTCTCTATCACAAACAAGCTTCTAAAGGGAAATGTTACCATGTCAAAGCTGGTGCTCATCACCAGCACTCTGCTGCAAACATATACAATTATATTAATGCAATGTCACATCCGTCAAGTAAGCAATGATGTGACATTGCACTAAGAAAAATATAAAAAACGAGTGCGCTGTACACTAAAAAAAAAAATCATAAACAATAAATCAAATGAATACTGCTACATAAAAATTGTGCATAAATTAATTGAAATGATATAAGTCCACATTCATCATATATGTATAAAATAATTAAAAGTCCCAAAATCCAATAACAGTGCTGTGTGCTAAAGAAATCCTCCAACGGAAAGTGCATCGATGTCCACAAATGCTTGACACAAAAAAAAAAATCAGCCTCAGACACTTTGATCTCCAATCAAGAGATCAAATGAGCAGCTGGTGTTCAGATCCCACACTGACACCCTAGTTAGCTGTATCAAGAAGATGAATGGACAACTGCAGGTTTACTTGAATGAATCCATCACATAAAGGCAGTTTAAACATTTCAAATTCCTGCGGTGTCAGACCACTGGCCAGAACGAGGTGACGTCACAAAAAGCTCCGCCCGATGCGCGTTTCTCCAGTTTACACTGACTATATACCTTATCTATGCAAGTGCAATACTTTAATAAATTCTTTGCTGCTTTATCGGGTCGCGCTATGACTTTTCTTCTTCTGTTTTAAACCTTTCCTTGCATGATGTGCAGAGCTGTCTGATGTGATGGATTTGTTCAAGTGAACCTGCAGTTGTCCATTTATCTCCTTGATACAGCTAACTAGGGTGTCAGTGTGGGATCTGAACACCATATGCTCCTTTGATCTCCAATCAAGAGATCAAAGTGTCTGGTAAGAGGCTTTTTTTTTTTTCTTTTGTTTCAAGCATTTGTGGACACCTATGCACTTTCCATTGGAGGATTTCTTTAGCACACAGCACTGTGTATTGGATTTTGGGACTTTTTAATTATTTAATATATGAGAAAGTGGACTTCTATCATTTCAATTAATGCATTTTTTTATGTAGCAGTATTCATTTGATTTATTATGGTTTATGATTTTTTAGTGTACAGCGTACTTTTTTTAATATGCTTTGTATTTTCTGGTGTTCAGGGAAAGAGTAGCAGCAGTTCACTAATTTTTTCAGAATATATATTTTTTTTCACACATTTATTCACATTGTATTGTCTGGGGTGAAGCGCAGGTTTTTTCCCCCTTTTTCTGCCTTACATTAAGAAAAGTGTGTGTATGCTTGCAACAGACTGCAAACTCAAGTGAAATGATGAGACCCCACCTGCAAAGCACCATATCATCAGATTCAATATGCTAAAAATGGAAATTTCTGGATTTCGGACAATTATTCACCAAACATAATAGAAATTAGTCCTTCTGTCTGATTCCGATGGCTGGCAGTAAATTTTATAGTTTACTGGTTTTACTTTGTATGCACCATACTGATGTTGTATGACTTGTTAGTACGTTTCTGCTGTCATTAAAAAAAAAAAAACTAGTTGATGGTTCCATTTATTCCTGGTTCCTCAGATGCCCTTAACTGATGACTCCATCCATACACTGTGTAAGAGGAATTTGTCCCAATTCCCCTCTACTCCCACCTTCATTTGAGATCTGATCTTTTAACATTTTTGGTCTTCCCTACACAATACATGTTACACCCACAAAGTAGTAAGACTACCCCTCAAGTTTCACAGTTTCGCAAAATTATTGCTCTATACTAACTCAAGAGTTTAGTAATTCAGGTCCCTGTCTGTATATTTTGGCACTGAAAGGTTTCTTTATATTTTTATGACTGTTCTATTTACTAGACATCAACCTATTCTTTAGTGACTTTGCCCTACTATACACCATCTCCTGCTATAAATTTAGTAAATCTGGGATCCTCTTACAAGACCCTGCAAAGTTTTCGTAGTATCTCAAAAAGATCTTTTGTTGATTGCAGCATGTGGTGATCAAACTAATTTTTTCAGCCTTATGTTTTACCTATTTTGTGTCATTATTTGCCTATTATATTCAGCTTTGTCTTTGTAGCCTCACCTCTTCAACCAGCTTTGTTGTTGGATACTACACATGAGAAAGCATTTCCAAACAGACCAGACAAATTCATACCATTATGTTTATTAGAATGACAATGGAACTGTAAACATTGAACAGCCACAGCAATTGAGCCTTTTGTGCAGTATTCACAATCATTCTCATAAACTGCAAGACTCAAACATACCCCATTAATTTGCTAAAATAAAACTACATAAAAAGTATAAAATTTTTTTTACAACAGATAAAAAAAAAAAAAAACCATGTCATATTTCACAAAGCAAGGGAGACCTGCCTTTCAAGCTATGGGATTAATCAGATTTAAAAATATAGAATTCCTTTAGGATTCCGAAAATGCATTATAATCACAGCTTAATGTGCTACAAGCCTGAGAATCCCAAATTCTGACGATCTGAACCACCTAAAACCCTCAGAAGTGGCAAATACATACATTTAAATAATATTTTTAAAATAAAGTATGAACACAGTTGTCCTCTAGCTCCTCTGGCATGATGCCATTGACAACATATAAACACACAATGGCTTTACAGTTCTCCTTTGCTGTGCAGCTGCAAAACAAAAACAAAAACTATGTTATATTTTGATATTACCTTGAAACTACGACCTAACTCTCAACTTCCAATCAAAGGCCAGTTTTTGCAACTGTGCACAGTGAAAAAGGCATAACACAGAATGAAAGACGTTGTAAACAATTCATTTTTTTTTTAACCACAAGCCTACAGGGCCTTATACCCCCTTCCTGCCAAGGCCAATTTCCAGCGCTGTCACACTTTGAATGACAATTGAGCGGTCATGCAACACTGTACCCATATGAAATTTCTATCATTTTTTGTGTGACAGATAGAGCTTTATTTTGGTTGTATTTAATAAACTCTGGGTTTTTTATTTTTTCTTAAACCAAAAACCACTGAAAAAAAAAGTTTTAGTTTTTGTTATAAAATTTTGTAAATAAGCGATTTATCTCCTTCACCAATGTGCGTTAATGAGGCTGCAGTGATGGACACTGATAGGCTGCACTGATGAGGAAGCACTGATAGGTGGCACTGATGGGCATTGACAGGCATCACTGATGGGCACTGAAAGGCAGCACTGACATATGGCACTGACTGGGTGACACTGAAAGGCAGCTCAGATGGGCACTGTGGCATTGATATGGCACTGATGGGCACTGACACAAGGCACTGATGGACACTGACAGGTGGGACTTCTGGGGCTACACTGATCATCAGTGCCCTGATGATCAGTGTACATGTTCCCTCCACGGAATGCAGATTACCAGCTTTCCTCTCCTCTCGCGCTGTCAGCGTGACAGCGCGAGAGGAGAGAAATGCCGATAACCGACATTTCCCTGTTTACATGTGATCAGCTGTGATTGGACACAGCTGATCACATGACCGAGCCGACATCTTCGGCTCTTTCTGTGGATCGGTGATCCGCTGTGTCCGAGTGACACTGCGCACCGCCGATCTCCGCGCACTCCTTGAGCCGCGCATGCGTGGTGAGAATGGGAGGACGTCATATGCCGTCCTCCCAGAATGAGAGAACCACCTTGCGTCCGTCATTTTACTATATGGTGGGTGGGAGGTGGTTAAAATCATAAATATGGCATACTCTGTGCAATACCATAGCACAAAGCAGGAGAGTGGACTCAAACCTCCTCTTCTGGGGTCTCCTGCGGGCACTCCCTGCTCCTCCACTTCTCTGTGCACCCTCGCATGCCTATTATAGGGACACACCAGCGGGCTTGTTCCTGAGGCAGGCTGTGTGTCCATTGATGCACAGAGCGGGGCTCAGCTCCCTCCCCCACAGGATTTGATTGACAGCAGCAGAAACCAATGACTCCTGCTGCTGTCTCCATTTCCTGTAAGGAGAGAGTGGAGAGCACCACTGCAGACAGGCACAGTGCTAGATAGAAATAGAACTCAGGTAAGTATTTAGGAAGGTTGGGGGGGACTGCTACAAAAACTGGGACATTTTTCCCGCTAATGCAGGGAATGCATTAAAGTACAATATGACTGCATACACATTCTAAAAACACTGGTGGGTATCCCAATCTCAAGGAAACCAGCTATCAGTGCATTTAAACGTGAAACAGCACACATACTTTTAGCTGATCATATCTATAAAAGTTTATTAAACTGGCATTAACTCATGTGGACATTCATATAAAAATGTATTATGCATTTGCTCAGTAAGGAATCATGCACACAGAAGCATTTGTCATTAGGCCATGCCGATGAGCCATTTGTTTTTTTTCACCCACGCCCCACACCCCCACCTCAACTGTTCTCCTTTGGCTGCAGAGACAGCGGCCAGGGTTGTACACATGCTACAGCAGCGATGCTTTGCAGCCACAGTAGGAACTATACTCTGTAGTGTTTGGCAGGCATTGCAACCTTCAAAAAATGACCTATTCAGGTGGATGAGGCTGCCCTGCAACCCTGTGAATTGCACGCCATTTGCAGTATGGTGGTACTGTATTTAGGGGGGCTAAAACAGGCAGCGAGGAGGCGACATATCCATTGTTTGTCAAATATCTCTGAAGAGCGATCCAGGCACAGATTGTTTATTTTTTTTTTTTTTATAAAGAAGTGACAGTCCTTACCACTTTTGTAAATGAGCCCTAAAAAAGCAGTCCCACTAGCTTAGAAAAGTAGATCTACTTGTACAGGACTAGGGGTCAGGATTAAAAGAAACGTACAGACATACATACGTATAAAAAAACATACATACACTTATACATTTTTTTTTTTTTTTTTTTACTGACCCCCATTTGTCCCCCCTTAAGCTGCAATAGGCAACAGATGGTGTGGTCACAATACTTCACATCCGCGGCATAGTCTACTTGAAGTGTAGCCATCAACAGGCAGTAAATCCGTTGAACACGACACACTCAGGCAAATAGGAAGCATTGTAAACACCCCTTAACTGCTTTTGTTGACAAAAATGGGGTTAAAACAGGTGGTGAGGAGGTGTCACATTGCTTCCTCACTACCGGTCAGTGGTCTCTGAACAGAAAACCAAATGCAGAGCGTGCTTCAGAGGAAAGGGGGATTTAAACGTGTGTCTAAACCCTAGTTCGCACTGGATTAGACTTTGAAGTCACATGATTGATCAAGCTCCCACTGTGCCATTTAGAGTTCTGTCAGTCCCAGCCCTGTAAAGGATACAGGGATACAACCAGAGTTAATCCAAACTGCACATCAGCCCAGTAGGAGCAACCTTTCTCAACCAAGATGCCGCAGGACCCCTGACCAACGCAGATGGCACCCTGGTTGAGAAAAGCAGATTTAGGCATTCAGGGACATATTCCTTGAACACAAAGTTTGCTTCTGGTTCTTACACTGTAGAGACAAATGCATACATATGCATGAGCCTTAAAAGCACAGCGATTTTCTTGAATATGACATCTGGGAAGTGTTTGAGGCTTTCACTACAAGACCGACCACATTGCGCTCTTCTATCCTTGACATCACTAGCTTGGTTTGCCACTGTTTGCTGTGATTGCAAAGCACCATCCCCTTTACAAAGGATCTGTGAGTGACAGTGAGCCACAGGCACAGTTTTCTCTATAAGGAGCACCAGAATTCCCTGTAGTCACCACTATCTCTACAGGCACATTGCTATACACAGCCTCTATTTATAATATTTGCTGGCTATTCCCATGTTAACATACAACATACTGCTCCGGCACTAAACCCCACAGGATAGCCCCCTATCTGGTCTGCAGAATCTTTCCATATTCCCTTACCAGTGTTTTCTTCAAAAAATGAAACATTTTCAGTTTTTTCACATTTATGTTGCCATTAATTTGGCTTTAGTTATTCCCAAACCAAATCAGTCATACTGTTGTTCTTGCTACATATCAGTGTATGCTGGCATGAGTGTTTAAAAAAAATAAAGTTATTTACCAGTAGATTTCATATGTTGGCATATAGTACAGGACAGGAACGTAGACCATGGATTATATGCCGCTACCTTCAGGAGATTGGACACTGGCAAATGCTTTGCTGTGAATGCCTCTATTGCACCCTGATATAACCACACCCAAGTAATGAGATTCATGTTTTGTAGCAAGCAATAAGGAGAAAAAGGATAGAGGGGAGAGACCCGAGTCCTGTAGTGTACAAGACATGGACTGCAATGGTGAGACAAAATTCCCATTATCTTAATTGTACAGTAAAGGAAACCATGGGTAATGGGGACATCCCCAAGCAAAAAACGGAGGGTAGTCTACAACACAAAAAAAAAAGAAAAAAAAAAAAAAAAAAAAAAAAAAAAAGTGAACAGACCAGAAACACCTTGGTCAACAGGCTGAAGCACCTTGCAGCCGAAGGCAGCATCCCCAGAGGCCCAAGCCACCCTGTAAAACTCAGCTTTGCAAGCCTGTGGACACTAATACTTGCTGCTCAAAAAAAAAAAAAACAAAAAACACACAATGTCAGATCTTAGGCCCTGATACGAAAGGGAGGAACCTGTTGTTTGAGGGTGTAGGGCCTGGAAATAAGCAACCTGAGTCACTTAGCAATAGTGGAAGAAGAAGCAGATGTTCCTTCTTGAGACCTTTAGGGAGGGCCCACCTAGAAGGAGAAAGGGTTCTGGGTCTCTGGACCACATTATCAAAATGTAAGATGAGAAAATGCTCTTTACAAGAACTTGGAGACACACCTGATGGAAGTAATGGCCACCTTACTCGTGAAATCCAAATGGGATATTCTGAATAAGTTCAAAGGGAGATTTTTGAAGAATCAGAAGTACCAGATTCACATTCCAAGGCGATATGGGAGGCCAGAGTGGGAGATAACATAAGCAACTGCTGCAATGCAGATTGGGGGGAAGGCCACGATGCTCAGAATGTAATATTCCCGGGGCGGAGCCTGAACATGGCGGAGTAGGAGAGCACGATGTAAGTGCTCTCCGACAGACTCCGCTTCCAGCCACCCCAAGCGCCCTCCTAGTGGAAGATACCGGGAACCTACCTAAGTGAGGGGGAACTCGGTGGATGAATGCCGGCTCTGTGAGCGGGGAACAAGAGAGCGCTTCCCGGGTTTCCTGAGACGTGCTGGCGGAGATCCAGGACGGAGCATCGGGTTACCGGGGAGACGGAGTGACGCAGCGTGGCCACGTGGTCATCCGCGAAGGAGCTCTGGGAGGAGAAGAGGCCGGCCGGCGTCCTGAGGGGAGAGGGAGACGCCGGTCCATTCCCTTGCTCGTTTTCCCAGCTTGAGTCCTAGTTTGCCTTGCTGCCGAAGCCCTACGGATGGCCATGTAAGATAAGAGAATCTGGAGGAATTCCCCCAAGGAATAGATAGGACGAGGAATATCAGACAACTGTAGCCTGGAGCTGCCTCACAGCTGAACTGAGAGGAGGGTGAGTGAGAATGGTCTAGGCTAGCTACATATTGGACTGTGTTATATAAATAAACATTGTGTAAAGGAGAAAAGGGGGATTCCCAGGGGATATGAAGGTGTGGAAGAGGAAAAAGGATTAACTGGCCCAAGAAGTGGAAAGGAAAGTGTAAAAGGACAAACAGTAGATCACGTTTGTGTACTTAGTACATATTCTTAATACTTACTCACCCTGGGCTTTTAGAAGAGAAGAAGTCTCACAGATGACATGAAGAATAAAAGCGCAAGGGGAAGCTGGCTCAAAGGGTCCCAGACGGGTACGATAAAAAAATATACGTCCCAGGGGAATGCGACCCCAGAAAGGTCTCAAGGTGGAAGTGAAAAAGAGGAAATGGAAATGAGCCTCGAAAGTAGCCCTAGATTATCGCTGGGTCTGAATAGTAGCAGGCAACAAATGACAGAAAATATAGAGAGGAAAGATCCTGAAAATGACTTACAAGTACCGAATAAAAGAGAAATAACAGAAATGTTTAAAAACCTGGAAAAAAAGTTCTAAAGCAAGAAATGACAAGCATACGGCAGGATCTGGGGCATTTGTTACTGAGAATGGAAGAAACTGAGGAAAAAGTAAAAAATCATAGCCAAAACATCTCAGACTTAGAAAAAAGGACTGCTACGATTAGGAACACGCAGAAAAAATTGTTGTATAAGATGGAAGTACAAGATAACAGGGATAGGAGAAGCAATCTTAGGATACGAGGAATCCCAGAATCCTTTAAAAGGGGGAGAACTGCAAGAAATAGTATGTAAAATTTTAAACTCTATTATGGACAGATCTGAAACAGAGGTAGTTAAATTGGATGGAGTATATAGAATAGGAAGATTCCACCAAGGAAATGAGAAGGAAAAACCAAGGAGACGTAATTGTTCAACTGTCCAAGTATGAGGATAAGGAAGAGATTTGGAGAAGGATTAAAAGGAAAAACAATTATTAAGTACAGAGAAATAAATATTCAGATTTTTGCAGATTTATCGCCTGAGACTCTGTGGAGAAGGAGATCATTGAAACCCCTGTTAGAGCAGATGAAAGAACAGAATGTACATTATAGATGGGGCAACCCAGCGTGTTTAATCGGTTGGAAGAATGGTGTCACAGCTTATTTGAGATTTCCAGAGGATTTGAGAGACTTTTGTGAAAG